CTCAACTCAACCATCACCCGTCCCTCATCCAAAAACCTAACACACGCCTCCGCAGCCTCCTTATCCGTCACGACCCCCGAGACAAACCCCCCCCTTCATCTGCCGATACCACTCCCACGTCCTTTCACTGACCGTCCTAGCGCCCAAGCTCGTCGCCAAACTCGTAATCCCCTCCAGCGTGACCAACTCCCCCTTGAGCGTGCTCTGAAACAACGAATCCGCCCCCTCGGTCTCAAGCGCCACAACCTTGACCCCATCCTCCAACCCATGCTTGTGAACGCCCTCGCAGACACCGTTCGCCAACCCGCCCCCTCCAACATTACAAACCACCGCATCCATTTTTTGGCCTTCTGGCATTTGCCTAACCACCTCATCAATCAGGGTAGAAGCCCCGCGCCAGATGGCAGGGTGATCAAACGGGGGGACGTAAACATTCTCCACACCGGGGGTGTCCTTGGCGAGAAGTTCCTCGCGGAGAAAAGTGTCGGCTTCGATCCAGGACTGACCTTTCTGTACGACTTGGGCGCCGGCGTCTTTGAGCTTTTGGACCATGAAGGGGGAGGTGGAGAGGGGGACGACGATGGTGGCGGTGCTGTTGGGGAGGGAGAGGGAGGTGGTTGCGCAGGCCAGGCCGGCGTTGCCGCCGGAGGAGCAGAGGAAGTGGGTTTTTGTTGTCGGGGGGGTGGATTGGGAGGCTTCGAGCATCATGTTGCCGATTCCGCTGGGGAGGAGGGTTAGCGATATGAACAAGGCAAGGGGGGGATAAGGGGGAAGGGGGAAACATACCGGGACTTGAACGACCCAGAGGGTTGGACGTTCTCTAGCTTGAGGTAGATGTTGCACCCGGCGTTGCGGGACATTTGGGCCGAGTAGATGAGGGGGGTTTCGATCCATGGCTGGAGGGTGTCTTGGGCTGTGGTGGTGGTGGTGGTGGTGGTTGTCCCCTTGGTGGATGGGGGAGGAGAGGGCGCAGGTGTGGGAATGGAGGCCATGGCGACGATGGGAGTGGTCTTGGTGGTGTTTGTCGGATAGGGGAAGGGAGCATGAATGGAAAGGGGGCGTGGGAAATCCATCTTGATTGAGTAACGTAGGTATAAGTAGGCGGGCAACTGATAAGATTGATATGATAAGAAGGTGTGATAAGGAGGTAAGCTTTCAACCAGTTCAGAACTTCAGATATCCCGAGTCAAGACAGCGAGTCGGCTGTGATCATGTATCTTTGTTCCCTTCCTCTCCCGAGTCCGCTCCCGGGCCATCGGTCCTTTTATAAGTTTCTCAAAGCCTTCAATCGCCATCAAGGTGCTCTGTACATTACTCTGTACACATCTCACCGTTCTTCTCGTCAATTCCGTGCATGTTTCGGCATTGCGAAAACGACACAATTAGCCAACCGCTTGTTTCACCCAGGCTAGAAGCGTGATCTTGTGATCTAGAAGCTTTTTCCAGCTTTTCCCGCTATTACCTGATGGATTCCAGAGGGGGTGACATCCCGTGACAGGTTGGCTGCTACACAGGATACTCACAGACCCTCCGCCTTTTTCGGGAAGGTCCCCTAGTCGGCAGGGCGTGATCAATTTTTAGGACCGCTGGCGTCAACCGTTGTTTTGTCGGGCGGTCTCAAACACGGGAAGAGTGGACCAGTCCGCTTATTACCGGGGTTTGTTTCTCCAAGAGTCCAAACTCCTTTTTTTTCCGGTCCACATTCTCCAACTTTTCTTCCTTCCCCTGTCTCCAATCTCCAATCTCCAACCTGTCATCGGTGGCCGTTGAGGCAGGTGTTGGATTTGTTGGTTTGGGAACAGAAATGTTGCAATCGGCATGTACTCTTCCTGCACAGCATGTACAGTCCGCGCCCTATGCCGTTGGTCTTGTCTTGTCACGTCAACAAGCTGCAAACTGCCCTTGCATGAGATACTACCGTGGCCTCAGAATGAGCCTCGACAACGACACGATTGCGAATTTTGGTGTCTGGTTGGCCAAAATGTCACCGTGACCAAACACCAGTTTTGCTGACACACGCCAAGTCCAGGTGTTCGATCCAGCTGTTCAACATTCGCATCCCCCTCACTCATCAATGAACCCGCACTTTGCCCTCCTCTCCCGGTCATACTCCTCATAGAACCCCCTCCAGACCAGCTTGTCAGGGCAGTCGTCCTCCCCCCTTCCCCTTCTTTTTCTCCTCCTCTCCTCCTCCTCCTCCGCCTCCTCACAGCTCGGCAGCGCCTCCCTCCACTGCCGATCAGTATGGAACATCCAGGGCTTCGGCAACGGCCAGTCGCTAAAATGGACCAGAAAGCTTCTTTTGACCTCCGCAACCGCGTCCCACTGCTCCCCATCCTCCCCATCCTCCCCTTCCCCAACCAGGTACCTCGAATGGTCCTTTGATCTGAACTCCCCCGTCAGCAACGCCAGTCCCCGGTGCGGCAGGATCATCGCCGAGCCCTTAAACAGCCTGTTCACCACCTCCATGTCAAACTCACCCGAGTCCATGGCGTCCTTGACGATCCTGTCATGGCGCCTGGTGTTCGGCTCCAACAACATGACATGCGATCCCAGAATCTGCTCGTTGATGGAGAGAGAAGTATTCCTCAGATCCCCCAACCAATACGCCCTCGGCACGGCAAGAACCGCCCTCGGCGCCTCGAAGTAGTGGTCCATGTTGTTCAGCACTAGCGTGTCTGAATCAAATGCCAATACGCGAGTGTAGTCGACCAGGGAGAAGGCGTGGAACTTTGTGATGGAAGCTCCCCAGGTGGCATCACCGTTTGGGAGCTGCAGCACGGGGGAGGGGTGCAGGTTGATGTGCGGGTATTCGGTTCTGATCTTGTTCATGATGCGGAATCGCCTCGCGGAGACGGCTGATTTGCCCTCGGAGTTCCATGTGTCGGGGTAGATCAGTGCGAGCTGGTGTTTTGTGTTGAATTGTTTTAGTCGGGAGAAGTTGATCATCTTTTCCTTTCAGTCAGCACACCCACTTTCCCTATGTTCCTGAGGACAGGGGAAAAAACAAAAAAAAGAAAGAAAAAAAAGAGAAAAAAAAAAGAAAAAAAGAAAAAACTTACGGCATTGCAGAGGTAATCCAGATCGGTGGTGTACTGCACATAGGCAAACTTGGCCTCCTCTTGCACTCTTGTCCGGTTGTAGACCACGTTCTGTATCGTTGAAAACGCAGGTTTCTTTTCCTGCCCCGTCAGCGACCTTGCCGCTGATTCCAGGGCGACATGGCCGTCGTATTTGACTGTAAAGAACGAGACAACGACGATGAAGCCGAGGACGGCTGTGAGGGTGATGATTCGGCGGGAGAGGAGCATCGCGATTAGTTGTCGGTGGGCACAGAGTCGGGCCTGAGAAATGGCCAGACCACCGGGAACAATGTGCTGTCGATGGAAAAGCCGCTCCTACCTTATCTTATGTGTCCAACAACCAAGATGCAAAAGTCGCGTGCATACACCTGCTCATTTCACTTTTGTGCCAACCCCAAAGCACAAGACCCCTGCTCCATGGCAACCTTTTTATTCCCCATCGTATCTAAAGCTATATCTCTTGGCAGGAGTCGAAATATGGTTGCCTGGAAAGGCTTCTTCTTGTACAAATGTCGCGCAAAAAAGCCATGATGGGTGGGTTCATCGTGAGATTTTTGAGCAGTTTGGTGTTGAGGTGCCGGGGGAGTGGTTCACGCGTGGGAGGGTGACGCGTAAAGATGCTGTGTAGAGGTCTTGGCGGGAGTTTGGGGGACAGGGTTTGGATACGGATGCCAAGAGGGGGTTGGAGGTTTGGGTTCGTGTTGGTGGTTGAGGGTGAAGAGGTGATATCGATAGGGCTGTTGTTCTGGTCGATATCGAGGTGGGTTTGGGGGGTTATGGTGTGGGTAGTTGGGAGGTTTGCCCTGGCAACGGGGTTTGCTAGTAAGGTGGTGTTTACCCCTGAGCCCCTGAGTGGATGGAAAGACATGTGTCAGTTTTCTAGTGACAGACTGCGAGAATTGTGCTTGCCCGTGTTAAAGAGAAGCTCCGAGCCTGTGTGCTACTGGTGTTGATGGATGCTGAAGAATGAGAGTCGGGAAGTGGACACATGTAGTTTGCTTCGTGACAAAAAGAGTCAAAACATGTCGACATGTCGATAAAGATAGCCCTGCCGAAATGCCTGGATACCTAATCCATCGACTTTGAGAGATCCATCTCCTTCTTCTGTTCTGTGTATGCAGAGATCAAACACGAAAAACGGTGGCCGTCATGGAGAATGCCGCCGCCGAGCTGGCCCGGAGCAAAGGCGCTCAAGCGGGCCGCCTGGTGTGAGCACATGGTGAAGAGGGCCGACCTGTGAGCTCTGGCGGGGCTCGTGAAAACTCCGCACTTCAGATCATATCTCCGTTTCTTTGTGGTCAAAACAAGATTTGATATGGCCTTTGCTATCAGTGGCTGGCTGACTTGGCTCGCTCCTTCCCCAGAGCCATATCTGGCAAGAGCAATTTGAGGCAAGTTGAGGCTCCTTTCCTGAGCTACAAAGTTGGGATGGATTTCTGGATTCAACGTCGCCCAGAGTCCAGCACACCTAAACTCAACCCGATTCTGCAGAGGACGTGGTGGCTCCTACTCCATTCCTGGTCCAGCCCTGGCCTACATTTGACATTCATACAGCCCAAGCTTCCCTTCATCACCCCTTTTTTGTCCACAATCCCCCCCCCTTTTACAAGCAATCACCATCGAAGCTATTTTCCGCCTGCCAACCAAGCTTTTTCACAGCACAGCTATCATATGTGGCTCCTTGATCCAGGAACACCTTTCAAGGTCAAGATGGCAGGCACATGCTTTATCTTTATCTACTAGCTTTGACCCTGACCTGGCGAACTTTTCTTTTCTTACTTTCGTTGACTGTGACCTATCCATCCTTTTCATCTCAACCTTGACCCACAAACCAACTCTTCCACAGCACCCATCACCAAGGGAAGGCCTCTTGCCTTGGTCTGGGTGGTCTGCGGCCGTACCTTTTCACCTTCCCACTCACACTACCTCTATTTGCTTCCATGTTCTATGGTCCTGGGTCTCTTCCCATCACCACTCTTCCCTTTTCTTTTAACCATCAATACACACTCCAGGTGCTTTCTTGTGCTCTGGTCAGGACATACCACTCCATTCCTGACTGTCAGCATTCATAACAGCACCTCCTATCATCATCGTCTTCCAATACACACGTCAAGTGTCACCGATCAAACAACCCCTTTTACACAATAACCCCCTTACCTAGGTACACAGCTCCACACCACCAGCCGCCTTCCAGAAAACAGCAGGCAAAAACCCCCCTTTTCCCCTGGAAGATTGTCTTTGACCTGATTAAAAGGGGCTCGGCGACACGAATTCACATCAGTCAGGATTCCAGTCTGCACAACACGGCGAAACTCACCCCAGCGCGGGTCTCGCGGAGCAAGCTGATAGCCCGCATTTTAATCTACAGGTTTTCACTCGCTCCCTTGCTCTTCTTCACATATCACTTCACCAGAGATTTTTTCTCTCTGGACTCAATTCATTTTTTCCCGTCTTTTTTCACAGCAGGCTTTTCTACTAGCGAGACATCAACGGGTTATCCTGGGCAATTGATATTGGCGGCAAGACATACTCAACGGCTTAACAAGAGATTATAATTATCATCAACGAAGAGGTATGTAGGATGTGTGCAAGTGTTTGGTAGCAGTTTTACTGATCTTTCTGGGCAGCTCAGCGTCGAGAAGTGGTCCGGTCTATTTGACAAGCCTGGCACCAGCCCACTGCCATCTCTCCCGGCAGACTAAACACCATAGTGGTCTTCACCACGAAGCTATCAGCATCATATCAATCGGATTGATACCAAGAAGAGAGGTCACACAGCTTGTCGTATGACATCTGGCGGTTCTCATATCAACACACATTGATCCCACTCCGAAGGACACAGCAATAACACAGCAAGTTCAGCCCCCAAGCACAAGCCGACATGTCGTTTCGATTTATCGCCTCCCACAGGCAGGGAGGCACCAACAACACTCCGGGCGGGAGAAATATGCCCCCCTCCTCCTCCGGGGCTGGGGCTAGGATCACGGGCGGCAGCAATGTTGGCTCCAGCAGCAGCAGCAGCTTTAGAAACAACCCCCCTGGTCACTCCGCTGCTGCACCGAATCTCCAGAGCATAGAGTTTGCCAGATGGATCTTTGAGCAGCAGCGGACTGTGGAGATGGGGGTCAGGAATGAGCAGTGGTCGTCGTCCTCGTCGTCGCCGCCCGTTATTGTTATTAGCGATGACGAAGAGGGTGGCGGCGGCGGTGGTGGTGGTGGTCGGCGGTCCAGTCGGTCGATTCGGTCTGTCAGGAGAAGCGGCATGGCTGTCAAACGGCGAATCGACCTTGTTGATGGTGCTGATGGTGATACCATCGTTGCCCACCCCCCCGGCGTTGGTGTCAACAGGGGCTTTGAAATCATCGACCTCACCAGCCCCTCTCCCCCCCCTCCCCCTCGTGCCCCAAAAACGCAGCGCACTACCACCACCCGGTATCAGGACCGAAACAAGCCAAAAGAAGAAACGGGTGATGATTTGAGGTGGGAGATTCATGCCCTGCTGGGGGAGCGATATTCCCCACCCCGTCGTCCCCAGCCTCGTCCCCAACCTCGTCCCCCTGCTCCGGTGGTTGAACCCTCTCCCTCTCCCTCTCCCTCTCCCTCCCCGAGTTCCGAACCGCAAAAACCAAAGCACCTCCAAACCCTCCCCCTAGAAATCCTAACCAAAATCTACCGCCACCTCCTCGTCTCCCCCAAACCCATCCCCGTCAAAGACCTCTTCCAAGAAGTCATCCGCGCCCCCCCCCGCCGCACCCGCACTCGCAATCTTCCCACCCCCCGACGCGCCGTACTGGCGATGGGGGAGGAGCCCGAACGGGAGTTCTCAATCGAAATCGGAATCCTCCTAGTCAACAAACAAAGCTTTGCCCAGGGCATACAAATCCTCTACGGGGAGAACACCTTCAGCTATCTCCTCCGCGACCCAAGCGCTGCCCGCACAGGTGGAGCGGCAAGAAGCCGAAGAGACGGGCAGAGAAACAGGATTGACTGGTCCCGTTACGGGGGCTTGGTAAGACAGGTGGAGATTGAGATGGAGCGGAACCGGACGGGGGGGGAGTATGCTAATCTTTTGAGGCGTGCGCTCGAGAAACTGAGGGGGGTGAGGTTGAGGGAGTTGGTTTTGAGGCTTAGTCCTTTGTATGAAAGGGAGGGGGAAGGGAGGCATCTGAGTGTGGTAAGTTTGTTTGGACGGAACGCGCCGGTTATGAGGGCGTTGAGGGGGGTGGAGGTGGATTTTTTGAGGGTGGGGGTTAATGTGAACAGTCATTTGAATGACGGGGAGGAGGAGGGTCCCAACGCAATGCGTGAAACTTGCTAC